TTTGTCCATACCTCGCTGCATTACACTGCAGCCCGCATCCACTTGAATAAGTGGTTTACAATATGTTCTTTATATCTCTCTCCTTCTCGAGCATTTTCTATCCCAGACTTTGCCTTTCTTGTTTCATCCTTACCACCACCACTTCTGTTACTTGGTGATTTTAATGCCCACCGTTTCCTCTGGGGGGGGTCTCATTGTGACTTACGTGGCATTCAGTTGGAGGCTTTTCTCGCGTCTCTCCCCCTCTATGTTTTAAATACAGGTACTCCCACCCATTTTGATCCTCGTACTCATACTCTCTCTTGCATCGATCTATCAGTCTGCTCTTCTTCCACTGCACTAGATTTCACCTGGTCTGTTCTACCAGACTTACATGACAGTGATCATTTTCCGATCATTCTTACTTCTCCTTCCTATTCACCACCTTTCCGTAGCCCTCGCTGGCAGTTTGATCGGGCAAATTGGGATCTTTACTCACACCTCACTGCTTTTAGTGAGGTTCCTTCTTCATCCTCCATTGATGAGCTCCTACACATCTTCTCGACGTCAGTTTATACCGCAGCTTCTCATTCTATACCCCAAACCTCAGGCAGGCATTCTCAGAAGTGCGTGCCTTGGTGGTCTCCTGCTTGTGCTCGTGCAGTACGTTTGAAACGTGCTGCATGGGGCAGGTACCGGTACAATAGAACCGCTGAGAGACTTCTTGATTTTAAGCAGAAGCGTGCGATCGCTCGCCGTGTCATCCATGAAGCTAAACGCACTTGTTTGCGAGACTATGTTTCCACCATCACCTCTGCTTCTTCTATGAGTGCAGTCTGGAAAAAAGTGAGGAAACTGAGTGGTAAATACTCTCCTGATCCAGCTCCTGTTCTACGGGTCGCTGGTGTTGATGTAGCAAACCCTCTCGACGTTGCCATTGAACTTGGCACACATCTGGTCTGTATTTCCCGAGGGCTCCATCTATGCCCCTCGTTTTTTTCCTCAAAGTCTGCCAGAGAGTTAGTACCCTTGGACTTTTCTTCTCTCAGAGAAGAACAGTATAATGTGCCTTTTACACTTCAAGAACTGGAGGCAACGCTCTCAGCTTGCCGATCATCGGCAGCTGGGCCTGACGACATTCATATTCGTATGTTACAACATTTACATCGGTCAGCCCTTGTAGTCCTCTTACACCTCTTCAATCTTATTTGGGCAGAAGGAGTTCTTCCCCAGCTGTGGAAATCAGCCATTGTTCTCCCTTTCCGCAAACCGGGTACTACAGGACATGATGCCTCCCACTATCGCCCCATCGCTCTTACTAGTGCAGTTTGCAAAGTGATGGAACGTCTCGTAAATCGACGTTTAATGTGGTATTTAGAGACACACAACAGTCTCTCTGCTAGTCAATATGGCTTTTGTAAGGGTCGTTCTACCATAGACCCCTTACTACGCTTGGATACGTATGTTCGTAATGCCTTTGCGAATAATCACTCGGTTATTGCCATATTTTTTGACCTTGAGAAGGCATATGACACAACTTGGAGGTATAATATTTTGGCCCAGGCCCATTCCTTAGGCCTCCGAGGCAATCTACCATCCTTCCTTAAGAACTTTTAACTGACAGACATTTCCGTGTTTCGAGTCAATAATGTTCTTTCCCCGGACTTCGTCCAAGCTGAAGGTGTCCCTCAGGGATGTGTTCTAAGCACAACACTTTTTCTCCTTGCTATAAATGATTTGGCCTCTGTTCTTCCACCCAATATTTGGTCATCACTGTATGTTGATGACTTCGCTATTGCTTGTGCAGGCGCTGACTGTCATCTTATTGCAGTTTCTCTCCAGCATGTGGTCGACCGTGTTTCCACTTGGGCCACCACGCATGGGTTTAAATTTTCAAGTACCAAAACTCAACAAATTACTTTCACTAGACGCTCTGTTATCTTCGATCATCCTTTGTATCTCTATGGCTCCCGTATCCCCGAACGTGATACAGTCAGGTTTCTAGGCCTTCTCTTTGACCGTCGGTTATCCTGGAAACCTCACATAACTTCTCTGAAGGCAACTTGTCACAGCCGGCTAAATCTTCTTAAAACCCTTGCTCATCTTTCCTGGGGAGCTGATCGTCGAACTCTGCTTCGCCTACATTCGGCCCTCGTTTTATCGAAACTCGATTATGGTGACCAGATTTATTCCGCGGCCTCTCCTGCTACTCTCTCTAGCCTTAACTCTATCCATCACCAAGGATTACGTTTGTGCCTTGGTGCTTTTCGCTCTTCCCCTGTTGAGAGCCTCTATACAGAAGCGAATGTTCCATCCTTGTCTGATCGCCGTGATGCCCATTGCCTTCGCTACTATGTATGCTCTCACGATCTACACAATCCTTCCATTTATAGAATGGTTACCGATATTAGTAGACATTCTCCTACATTCACTCTCGTCTTCCCTTCAGTTACCACCTTTATATGTTCATGTAGCATCTCACTTTTCCCTACCCCCCTGGGAAGTTCCAGCTGTTCGGGTCTGTTCTTTCTCACTCCCTTGCTCGAAAGCTCAACTGCCTATAGTGGCTTCGCTCTCTCTTTTTCTTGATCACTTCCACTCCCATTCTCATGCCACCGCTGTGTACACAGATGGCTCTAAGTCTTCAGACGGCGTTGGATTCGCAGCAGTGTTTCCAGACAGTGTCGTGCGGGGACATTTACTATCTTCAGCTAGCATTTTTACTGCTGAACTGTATGCCATTCTTGCAGCACTTATTCGTATCGCATCTATGCCTGTGTCATCATTTGTAGTAGTCTCAGACTCCCTTAGTGCTCTACAGGCTATACGAAAATTTGATACATCTCATCCCCTAGTTCTCCGTATCCAACTTTGGCTACGCCGTATCTCTACCAAACATAAAGATATTGTTTTTTGTTGGGTCCCTGGTCATGTCGACATACAGGGCAATGAACAGGCAGACACTGCTGCGCGGTCAGCAGTACATGACCTACCAATTTCCTATCGAGGTGTTCCATTTCTGGACTATTTTGCTGCAATAGCTACCCACCTTCACACCCGTTGGCAACAACGTTGGTCAACTCTGCTTGGTAACAAACTTCATTCTATTAAACCGAGCATAGGTTACTGGCCGTCTTCTTGTCATCAGTGCCGAGGTTGGAGACCACTCTCTCCCGCCTTCGCATTGTCACACTCGTCTTACTCATGGTATCTCATGGAGAGGCACCCTGTTCCTCTCTGTGAGCAGTGTCAAGTTCCAGTATCGCTTAGCCACATTCTGTTAGACTGCCCTCTCTATCAACAAGCACGCAGAATTTACCTCCAACGTTGTCTTCGTTCTACTACTCTCTCTTTACCTTCCCTTCTTGCTGATGGACCCTCCTTTAATCCTGACTCTCTCATTGACTCTTGACAACGACTGATTTACTCCACAAACTCTGATGATACTTTTCGCACTCCCCTCAGCCCTTTCTAGTTCAGTCTCTTGCTGCCCTTTACCCTTTCACCATCCACTGCCCAGCTGTTATCCGTAACCTATTACTCATCCATCTCCCTTTTGCCACCTGATGCCCTCGCTTCCTTCCTGCCCTGCAGCGCTGTATAGTCCTTGTGGCTTAGCGCTTCTTTTTGATTATAATAATAATAATAATCTTCTTTCACATATCGATACTATTTCTATCACTATCGATAAACAACATTCCTTCAATTCTTGTAGTGGCACTGTCATTCTGCCCCACACCATTGTCCAACAGAATTTCACAACATGTGGCGATGACATTCTCAAACAACTGGAAATCCAGGACCATCCAATCCTCAAAGTAGACACTTATGTCCTTCCTGCCCGTGGGTGGAGATGATACCCTTGCAATGTAGCTCGATTAGCTTTTGACTGCTGTGAACGCCCAGCCTCTGTTTATGTAGCAGGACATCGTTTACAAGTTTGAAAGGTGATCCCTACACTGCAACAGTGTAGAAATTGCTGGCGATTTGGTCACCCAGTGAAATATTGCAGATCTATAGCTGAATGCCCAGTCTGTGGTGCCGATGGCCATTCTAATGCATCTTGTAGTCAACCTCCCTCTTGCCTTAATTGTCAGGAAGCTCACCCTTCTTACTCTTGCCATTGCCAAGTCTACCTAAATGAGCGAGAAATCCATTGCCTCAAAGAGGCAGAAGGTTTCCCGTATGCTATGGCAGTTTCTTATCTAAACCTCCAAGGGTGACTCCCCTGTATTTCTTATTCTTGTGTTTCTAAATGTCCCCCCACCTCTGAGGTCCCAACTTCTGCAGCCTCCTCTGTGGTTACTCCTTCCATAGTCACTCCTGTCTCTAATTCTTTTGCTGTCCTAGGCTCAGATATCCCTACCTCAAATCTAAGTCTGTTCTCACTTCTTCGTGTTCTCCCTCACAAGCCCCGGTATCAACAAGACCTTGTACAACATCTCCTCTCAATCACCTCTCTGCTTCTCAGAAGTCAAAAAAAAAAAAACCTTTGCTCAAGTCTCATTTAACCCCCCCTTTCCCCTTCTTCTCCCTACACAGTTTACCTTTCCAGTCTCTCTATCTAGTTCTTCACTTCTCGCTAGCTCTGTTATGAGTGTGGAGGTTCACCCTCCTCCTCGAAAGGTGCCTTCCTCCCCTGTCCCCTCCCAAGTTTCTTCCTCTTCTGCTCCCTCCCAAGTTTCGTCCTCTTCTGTCTCTTCCCACACTTCTTCTCCAGTGCCCTCCACCCTTTCGTCCCCCCATACTTTGGTACAGTCCATTGCTGTCCCAATCTTTACTCAACCTCCTCCTCCGATCTCCAATATTGTCTTTGACTTGCGAAATGCTTGAAGCTATCTCAGAATATATTGAAGAGACTAAACTATCAATGGACACTGATCCACCTCCTGTCCCTTCTCTTCCCTCTCCTTCATCTGTACAACTCCTTTCTTCGCAGCACTCCATTCCTTTGCTCCTTGAACGTTTTCCACTGCCACATTTGGACTTTTCTAACCCCTCTAGTCCGTAAGTACCCTTACCTGCGAATTCCTGGTATCTTTCTCGTTGATAATCATGGCCTATTTACAGTGGAATATCCATGGCCTCAAGGGTAATCGGGGTGAGCTTCAGATGTTGCTCTCCCGGTTTTTCCTTGTTGGTGTTTGCTTACAAGAACCAAAATTACACTCGGCTGTTTTCCATCCCATCTCAGGCTATAACTTATTGTATTCTTCAGATCCTTTTTCTGATGGGACCTCTAATGAAAGTGCCCTTCTTCTACACACTGATATTCCGTACCATCAGCTATTTGTTCATACCTCACTGCATTACACTGCAGCCCATATCCACTTGAATAAGTGGTATACAATTTGTTCTTTGTATCTCTCTCCTTTTCGGGCATTATCCCAGATTTTGCCTTTCTTGTTTTGTACTTACCACCACCACTTCTCTTACTTGGCGATTTTAATGCCCATCATTTCCTCTGGGGGAGTCTCACTGTGACTCACGTGGCATTCAGTTGGAGGCTTTTCTTGCTTCTCACCCCCTCCATGTTTTAAATACAGGTACTCCCAACCATTTTGATCCTCATACTCATACTCTCTCTTGCATCGATCTCTCGGTCTGATCTTTCTCCATTGCACTAGACATCACCTCGTCTGTTCTCCCAGACTTACACAACAGTGATAATTTTCCAATCATTCTTTCTTCTCTCTCATATTCACTACCTCTTCGTAGCCCACACTGGCAATTTGGTCAAGCAAATTGGGACCTATATTCACAACTAACTGCTTTTAGTGAGGCTTCTTCCTCCTCCATCGATGAGCTTTTACACCTCGACGTCACTTTTAACAGCAGCTTCTCATTCTATACCCCAAACCTCGGGCGGGCATTCTCAGAAGTGCGTACCACGATGGTCTCCTGCTTGTGCTCGGGCAGTATGCTTGAAACGCGCTGCGTGGGGCAGGTGCCGGTACAATAGAACCACAGAGACTAATTGATTTTAAGCAGAAGCGAGTGGTCGCTTGCCGTATCATTCATGACGCTAAATGCACTTGCTGGCAAGATTGTTTCCACCATCACCTCGGCTTCCTCTATGAGTGCAGTCTGGAAAAAAGTATGGAAACTGAGTAGTAAATACTCTCCTGACCCAATTCCTGTTCTGCAGGTTGCCAGTCTTGCTATAGCAAACCCTCTTGAAGTTGCCATTGAAATTGGCAATCATCTGGTCTGCCTTTCTCAAGGGCTCCATCTATGCCCCTCGTTTCTTTCCTCAAAGTCTGCCAGAGAGTTAGCACCCTTTGACTTTTCTTCTTTCAAAGAAGAATCTTATAATGTGCCTTTCACACTTCCAGAACTGGAAGTGACACTCTCAGCTTGCTGATCATCGGCAGCTGGGCCTGACGGCATTTATATTCGGATGTTACAACATTTACATCAGTCAGCCTTTACTGTCCTCTTACAACTCTTCAATCTTATTTAGTCACAGGGAGTTCTTCCCCAGCTGTGGAACTCTGCCTTTGTTCTCTCTTTCCGTAAATCAGGTACTACGGGACATGATGCCTCCTGCTATCGTCCCATTGGTCTTACTAGTGCAGTTTGCAAAGTGATGGAACGTCTGGTAAATCGACATTTAATGTGGTATTTAGAGAGACAACAGTCTCTCCACTAGTCAATATGGCTTTCGTAAGGGCCGTTCTACCATAGACCCCTTACTACACTTGGATATGTATGTTTGTAATGCCTTTGCAAATAACCACTCAGTTATTGCCATATTTTTTGATCTTGAGAAGCCATATGACACAACTTGGAGGTATAATATTTTGACCCAAGCCCACTCCTTAGGTCTCCGAGGCAATCTACCATCCTTCCTTAAGAACTTCTTAATTGACAGACATTTCCGTGTTGGGGTTAATAATATGCTCTTCCCAGACTTTGTCCAAGCTGAAGGTGTTCCCCAGGGATTTGTTCTGAGCACAACACTTGCTATAAATGATTTGACCTCCCTTCTTCCATCCAATATTTGGTCATCCCTCTGTGTTGATGACTTCGCTATTGCTTGTGCAGGCACTGACTGTCACCTCATTGCAGTTTCTCTCCAGCATGTGGTCAATCGTGTTTCCAATTGGGCCACCACGCATGGGTTTAAAATTTCCACTACTAAAACTCGGCAAATTACTTTCACTAGATGCTCTGTCATCTCCGATCATCCTTTGTACCTCTATGGCTCACATATCCCTGAACATGATACGGTCAGGTTTCTAGGCCTTTTCTTTGACCGTGTTATCCTGGAAACCTCACATTACCTCTCTGAAGGCAACTTGTCACAGCTGGCTGAACCTTCTCAAAACCCTTGCTTGTTTTCATGGGGAGCTGATCGTCGATCTCTCCTTCACCTACATTCAGCCCTCATTTTATTGAAACTCTCCTACTACTCTCTCGAGCCTTAATCCCATCCATCACCAGGGATTACGTTTGTGCCTTGGTGCTTTTCGCTCCTTCCCTGTTGAGAGCCTCTATGCAGAAGCAAATATTCCATGCTTGTCCAATCGCCGTGATGCCCATTGCCTTCGCTGCTATGTTCGCTCTCATGATCCCCGCAACCCTTCCATATATAGAATGGTCACCGATGTTAGTAGACATTATTTGTTCATCGCCCCTGTTTATTCCATCCCTTTTCTTTTTGCCTCCATTTGCTCTTGTCTTCCCTTCAGTTACCACCTTTCTATGTTCATGTATCATCTCACTTTTCCCTGCCCCCCTGGGAAGTTCCAGTTGTTCGAGTCTGTTCTTTCTCACTTCCTTGCACAAAAGTCCAACTGCCTATGGTAGCTTCCCACTCTCTTTTTCTTGATCACTTCCAGTCTCATTCTCATGCCATTGCTGTATACACAGATGGCTCTAAGTCTTCTGATGGCATTGGATTTACAGCAGTGTTTCCGGACAGTGTCGTGCGTGGGCATTTACTGTCCTCGGCTAGCATTTTTACTGCTGAATTGTATCCCATTCTTGTAGCACTTATCCGTGTTGCATCTATGCCTGTGCCACCTTTTGTGGTTGTTTCAGACTTCCTTAGTGCTTTACAGGCTATACGAAAATTTGATACATCTCATCCCCTAGTTCTCCGTATCCAACTTTGGTTACACTGTATCTCTACCAAGCATAAAGATATTGTTTTTTGTTGGGTCCCTGGTCATGTTGACATACAGGGCAATGAACAGGCAGACACTGCTGTGCAGTCAGCAGTACATGACCTTCCAGTTTCATATAGAGGTGTTCCATTTACGGACTATTTTGCTGTATTGCTACCCACCTTCACACCCATTGGCAACAACGTTGGTCTGATCTGCTCAGTAACAAACTTCATTATATTAAACTGAGTCTAGGTTACCGGCCGTCTTCTCGTCATCAGTGTCGAGCTTGGGAGACTACACTTTCCCGTCTTCGCATTGGCCTCATTCATCTTACTCGTGGGTATTTCATGAAGAGGCACCCTGTTCCTCTCTGTTAGAATTGTCAGGTTACAGTATCTGTTAGCCACATTCTGTTAGACTGCCCACTCTATCAAGGAGCATGCAGAATTTATCTCCAACGTCGTCTCCGCTCTGGTGCCCTCTCTTTACCTTCCCTTTTTGCTGACGTATCCTCCTTTAATCCGGACTCTCATTGACTTTTTGACAACTGATTTACTCCACAAACCCTGATGATGATGCCTTTAGCACTCCCCACAGTCCTTACTACCTCAATCTCTTGCTACACTCTAATCCTGCACTATCCACTGCTCCACTATCCTCCATAACCTACTAATCATCCCTCTCCCTTATACTACCCAATACTCTCGCTTCCTTCCCTGCCCTGCAGTGCTGTATGGCCCTTGTGGTTTAGCGCTTCTTTTTGATTATAATAATCTGCCACTTCTGCTTCACACTGGTGTCGTAAGGGGAGGAGCAGGGGTCTGGCCACCCCGGGTGACGCCATTTAAGGGGCGACACCATAGAGCCTCTAAAGAAGGTGACACTAATGCACAAAACAGGGCTGCAACAATGTAAGAGAAAAATCCTTCGTTTCTATATAGCCCATTATATGATTACAGAGTAAAAATAGGCCTACATAGGGAAAATCATCGCTTTTGATGATGTGTAGATGATTTTGCATGATTGAAGGCAAGGAATGTAAAATCAGATTCACCGAGATGTTACCTGTATCCAAGGTCAAATCGGAACTATTGTTTCTTTGATATTGCAATGTTTCTCTTTATTTTTCTTTTTTTTTGTATTGTTAAATATGAATAAATGTAGGATCTGTTGCCTGTACACAAAGTGGTATTTGAGTTTGTTTCCACAATATTACTATGGTTATTTGTTTTATTATTAATGAAGTTCAGAAGTATTCTCCTGTTTGGTTTATGGCCCATAAATAGGTTGGTACAGAGGGTGGGGGGCCGTGGGGTGTCGCTTCTGCGTGCTTTGAGTCTAGATACGGGTGGGTTAGAAGAGGGTGTCATAAGAGCTTTAGATTATATCATGGTAGATTATATATATATGTATGTCGTGGGTGATGAGGGGGAGAGGGGATAGTGAGGAGAGAAGAAAGGTTCTTGCGGTAACGTTCTATCGTACGATGTGTCGTAACAGAGATTTGTATGGGAGGAGGCGGGATCAGGCTTTCTCAGAGGGGTATAGAATGCTAACGTTAGGGATTCTCGTAAATCTGTGATTGATAATGAGTGAGTGAAGGGGTTTTCATAGGTTGGAGGGAGTCAGGGGGTCACAACGGGCTCGCCTCCTTTGGGGGGGGGGGGTCGTGAGAGTGTTGTGAATGTGGGTTTGGAAAGGTTTCCTGGTTTTCATTGAGACTTTATGGCAGCCAAGTGTGGATGTAGAGCTCAAGGTCTCATTATGTTAGATATAACACTTTTCAGAATGTAGGTATAATATAGTAGATTTTTTTATGTATAATTTGATGTGTATCAGTCTTGTATGACATGATTCTTGAGTAGTAAGTTATTTGCGATATGAAGTGTGTTTTAGTTTGTATGTATGTTACGTGCTGAGTTTTTGCACGATGAGATATACTT